ATCCAGAACATCACCAAAATTTAAACGTGTGTTCCTTGGCCAGTACCCATGTGGTAAAAATGTCATGACAATCCATCCACAGGTAATGTTGTCCACAGACAGAACGACAGACAGACAGATACGCGACTGAAAACATTACCACGTCCTTGGCGGAGGTAATAAACACACTGCAAAGACAAGATATTTCATGTTCAAAGGTATAAACTTTGTTGGTTGTTTGCAAATATTTTCTCAGTTTGAGTTTGACGCTGTGACATGTTCCAAAAGCTGGGACAGGGTCAACAACAGACTGGGAAAGTTGAGGAATGATCACCTGTTTGGAGCATTCCACAGGTGAACAGTTTAGCTAGGAACAAGTGAGCGTCGTGATCGAGTATAAAGGGAGCATCCCTGAACGGCTCAGTCGTTCACGAGCAAGGACGGGGTGAGGTTCAACACTTTCGCCTCGTCTCCACTGACACGGTTGTATACAGTTCGACAGTACGCTCACGATTTTGACGTCAGCAGAACTCTGCCTGTGGTTTAGCTCTGGGATTGATTGACAGAGGAAAGGCGGAGAGAGACACTTTTGTTTCAGAACATGAGCGTGCGGCGTGATGCGACGGCATGGCGAAAGCAGTGATGAAACCACGGTCTAACCTTGTGGTGACCTTGAGAAAGGCCGAACTTGCAAACACTCCCTGGAGAGAGGTGAAGGAGACGAAGCTGAACAGATAACCGGGAGGTTTTGAACAAACTGGCCGCCCACGCTTACACAGCAACGATACATAAATAAAATAAAATAAATAAATTAGGGCTGTGAAATTAATCGAGTTAACCCTGATTAATTTTAGTGCTACATGGGAAAAGATTAAAAAATTAATCACTATTAATAGTGATTAAATTTTACACTTACTTTACTATGGCTGAAAATGTAGGTTTGTATATTGCAATGCACTCTCATTGTAAATGAGAAGTGGTTCTCAAACAGTTTACCTGGATAAATAAAGGTTAAATAAATAAGATAAATGTAAAAATCTCCATGTGTAACACATTATGTACAGTTTTTTTTTCTTTTTGTCTTCTTATGGCTTATTTTATTTTATTTATTTATGTTTTGCTGACAACTGTGACCTTAGTATCTATCTTTCCTTCCTCATGTGCTCATTTGGAATGAAAATCCTTGAATTCTTCATTTAACCTCATTAATCTGCACAAAATTTAACTGACTCAAATATGTTTGGAGCATTTTTAGGTCCTGTTTTATGTTCAAAAAATCATGTTGAAGCATCAATTTTGTTTTCTAAATAAAAACATTAAAAACTAATTAATAACTCAAGTAATTTATTTTATCAATATGCAATAGAAATGTGTATTAAATTTAAGATTAATCATGATTAATTCACAGCTACTTTGGGATTAATCAGATTAAAATTATTAATCGACAGCCCTAAAATAAATAAATAAATAAATAAGAAGTGAAGTCTGAACAGTAAAACCACAACAACTTTTTTTTTTGTTTAACACAACAGATGAAGCCGTTGCTAACGGTCCGCCCATAATCACCCCCACAGAGTGAGGGACACACACACCTGAGCAGAACCGAACCGACCCAAATCAAATAGAGTAGAACCGTGCTCGTGGAGAAGGGGCTTTTGTGAAAAACTGTGTGAGCAAATAGTCCAGCAGTTCAGAAAAGATCGTTTCTCAAAGTAAAAGTGCGAGGAACGTAGAGGTTTTATCAGCTTCAGTCCAGAACATCAACAAAAGATTCAGAGAATCTGGACGAATCTSTGCAAGTAAGCAGCAAGGCTGAAACCTTTGACCCCTCAGGCAGCCCTGCATTAAAAACCCACATCACTCTCTAACTGATATTAGCACCTGGGATCAGGAAGACTTCAGAAAACCTGTCAGTTCATCTCTACATTTAATTTAAAGCTCTATCATGCAAAGACAAAGCCAGATATCAACAACAGAAACACCGCCGGCTTCTCTGGACCCGAGCTCATCTGAGATGGACCGACTCAAAGTGGGAAAGTGTCCTGTGGTCTGACGAGTCCACATTTCTAATTGTTGTTTTTTTTAAATCATGGACGTGTTATCAGCACAACCAGCCTCTCTTATGGTATGGGGGTGTATTAGTGTCCGTGGCTTGGGTAACTGTCCCATCTGTGAAGGCAKAGATAATGATGAAAGTTACATCCAGGTTTTGGAGCAACGTGCTGCCATCCAAGCCGCATCTTTTTCATTTCTTTCTTTTTTTCTTCATCTGACCTTTATTTATACAGGAAGTCTCATTGAGATCCAGAATCTCATTTCTAAGAGTTTTCCAAGTTTATAGAACGTGTTGCAGCGTCAAATTCAAAATTAGTGAATATCTTGTTAGCCTGGAAGTTCTCCTTTCAAAAAAAGTCTTATCAAGTGCAACTGTTTTATTCCACTGGCAGATTTGTTCACTTCATTTGAGAAATGTTAGAAGATTCAGACGTATACCGTTCCACCCTGGAGAAATAATTCAATTAAATCATTTACAGCTCGTTGGCTAACAGGACCCTCATGCCCACGATGGCTGTTACTTACGTTGACCTCCAGTTTGACTTCGTCTGGGTAGAAATAAACCATGACTGAGAGGACGGACACGGGCGTGAGGGTGACGCTCCGGGGGAAGAGGAAGTAGAGGACCAGGCAGCAGATCAGGATACACACAGCCATAGAGATTAACACGTACAGCTTCCTGAAAAGCACAACAGCAGCTTTRTTAGACTGAAATACGTAAAGTAAGACTTGCAAACACTCCTTACGTGCGTCTGGGTTTCAGCCTCACATCGTTGCACGGTATTACAGCAACCAGCTGGTTTTCCTGGGCTGCAGAGAAAAAAAGAAGCAAAAGGTTTTGTTTTCACCACAAAACAGATGTGAAAGCACGCTGATGGCGAGCTTTCGTGTCGTTCTGTCTGACTCGTTTCCTCCGCCGCTGAGAGGGAAGGAAAAGCACCTGCTTTGGATGTTATTATCCATTAAATGGACGTTATTAGCCGTTATCAGTCCCATAGAATGGCTTCAGACCGTCAGCTGGTTAGTATGAGGCATAAAACCACTGAGTTTTTTATGCAATTTGGTTAATATGAGGCATAAAGCCACTAAGGTTTTTTATACAATCTGGTCAATATGAGGCACAAAACTGTAAGAAAATTTAGTGTTCATTAACTGAAATTGAGAAAAAAACCACATAAATGTTGAATAGAYTAAAATGTGAAGAAAAGAGGACCATACAACACCAGTGACTGGAGTGAACGGAGGTTTAACGCTGATCGCTCAGTCATGAAACCCACGCTGAATGAAAACCGGAAGTCCCGGCATATATATACATGTTCTTCAGTGCCTGGTACGCCCACTACTGGTCTACGGCTGAATCGCAGACACTCAGACAAAAACCTATACTTATGTTTGATTAACGGTTTTTTAAGTGTTGTGATAGTGTTTCGGGCATGTATCTAAACTACTTTAATCAAGACATAATAGTCAAACACTGGATTATAAAAGTCAATACTTAAAAAGGAAAACTAAGAAAATGGTGTAGTGCTTTTAAAATCAGTATCTAACATGACTAATAAATTTCTTCAAATTCACTAAGGTTTTTTATGCAATCTGGTTAATATGAGGCATAAAGCTACTAAGGTTCATTTTAGAGAAAATGACATGGGCTACGATAAAGTAGATTGTTGCATTTCATTTTATACAGCGGGTAAAATAAGTATTGAACACGTCACCATTTTTCTCAGTAAATATATTACTA